AATCTAACATGAAGTCTCGTTTTAGTCCTAGTTTCATTGAAATTATGATAATTGTGTGTTTGCTGGGCTTTTTTCAAGCTGTCTTTGTGTACTTCTTTTAGATGCAGTTTTATTGTGCATTTTATATTGTGATATAAAGTCTCGTCACTGAGCCAATGTTTGCGGAGCAGTGTAATTTATTAGCACCAAAAATTTGTGTATTTTTATTACAAACTGTGCCTTTTAACGGGCTCTTTGATTACACAATTGTTCCTGGATCGAAGCCCTTGTCAGGTTCATTTTAAATTTATTCACATTGTTATTTTGCTCGTTTAGATTAGGAACAGTGTTATGTGATATTGAAAGTCTAACTTTCGGCGAGATTTTTCAAGGTTAATGAGGGTACTCATACTTAATTGCTCGACTAGGGGCGGGGGTAGTAAACGTACACACGCGCTAAATATTTCGGTCACAGTTTTTTTTTTAATATAAAATGGTACAAAATGATTTGTAGCGAACAATTCGGATTATAGCAACTAGAATTTTTTTACATACATAGCAATTGCATGTTAGTCCTTTGTTTGATGAACACTTACAGCTTAATAAAAAAAATATTATCTGAAACGACTTTTATTTAAATACAAAGCATTAAACATTTGGAACATTTATCTAAATTGGTGAACACTAATCCTAAGTCCAATACTATCTTTCCCAATCTCAGCTACTGTACAAACATTACAGATAGCACCCTTGTACTTCGGAAGATACGAAGTGCCACAAAATGAACATTTCTCCTCGGCTTTGCCTCGATAAATCGGAGTATACGAATAACCGCATAAATTAAATGGATTATGTTCATCGTAATGCAATTGCAACTCATCCGTCAAATTTGAATCACAAACCTGCAAAATTTTTCTCGCTTGTGACGCCACTTCCGGTTTCGGACCCAACTCAAGCAATCTTCTCGCGAAAGAAGCCGCAGTTTTGTAATTTTTCAATTTAACAAACATATTAAGCGCAGTCCGAAGTGTTAGAATTTGGTGGACACGTTGCAAGTTGCAATGAGTAAAATAAGCGGCCATTTCGCATTGACGCTTCTGTTCCTCTATTGAGTTTTTCGGCAAGCTTTTGCGAAGCGTCTCCATTTGCAAACCACAAATGTATTCCCGACAAAGACGGAATAGTTGTTCAGCTTCGGACACCTCTTGTTTCGTGTCAACAATCAAAAGCGCAATTAACAAAATCAAATTTCGGAATTTTTCAATCGCTTCGCTAAACTTGGCCCCAGTAGTGAGTTGGTAACAATCCTGCAAGATAATAATAATAATATAAATGCGCAAGTTTCGGTAAATTAGATACCTGTAATTTCTGGACCAAATCGTTCAATTTGACTCCTGCAACCGGAAGCCCCCCTTTCGGGCCTGCATCCTTCCAATTACGCAAAGGATAAGTGAAGTTTGATGGCAAATTTGGTTGCCACGTTGTGCTAGTTCTAGATCCGCTATACAACGATAAGAAAATATTTTCAAAYGGTTCAAAATKAACAATTCCAAGTTGGTCATGTAACAATCTACAAGCCGATTCAAATGACCCAGCCATGACATGATCGACGGCAAATTGTGAATTTTTCGTCCATGCTAAAGTCGGACTAGGCCCTTGAGATGGCAAATGAATAAAACTTTCACTCGATTGTTGCGTTTGTGACGTTCCCAAATCAGGTATTTCCAAATCAGCGTCTTCAACATCCCAACCACCTTCATCTCCTGGGACTGCATCGTCCGATTTGCGTTCGGTGTCAACATCAATCTCCTCATCGTCGTCACCCCAACCACCAACTTCCTCATCCAAAGCTTCAGTTGTTGGTTCAACCATCAAACTCTTCATATTTGACGCAGCTTGAACCATTGCGTTAGTCTCAAAGAAACTGCGACTGACTGTCAATAACGGCCAATTGCTCTCAGCTTGTTGAATTGGCGGTGGAGGGATAAAGAATTTTGCGTTGGGGTCAACATCGGGCACTTTTTTCTCATTCCCAATCAAACCTTTCAATTCTTCAGCTTCCTCCTCGTACCCGTGAGTTGCAGCTGTTAAATAAGCTAAAGATGTCAAGTTTGATTGCTTCAAAACTCTTATTCTTTCTTCAACATCACCAAGTAATAAAGCACCATGATATTGCGATGAGCGTGCTTTGCGAATCTCAGCAATTTTTGTCATTTTACGCAACTTTTCCAAATTGCCGGTGATTAAATACAAGAATGACAATTTCTCGAAACTTTTAGTTCGCTGATAACACATTTCGACCACTTGGTGGTTGCCGTGCCACAAAGCGGTTTGGGCCAATTGTTCCCAACAAAGTTTATCATTTAGGGCTTTAGCTGCGTCCAATGCAATCTCAATATTGCCACATTCTAGTGCCAAAGTGAAACGAGTCTTGTCATCTTTGACAAAATGCAAAGCCACCTCAGGGTAACCCTTTTGTTGCAAATATGAAATTATTGCTTGACCCACTAGACGCGAATTTTTAACCATGAATAAGACTTCATCGTAGCGGTGGTGAATCAAAGATAATTTAAATTTGTATTCTGTAGGATCGATTGTTAGAACACGAGGCTTGCATTCACGGTCTAAACAAAAGACATGCTTTCCTTTAACTCGAGTGATGTAAATTGGCAAGTCGAGAGTACGAATAATCCCATGGTCGCTAAAAAAAATAACAAATTATCTTTACGTAATACAGGGTGTCCCAGCGAGTTGGAAAAGTCCATTAATGATCTTGATGTGGTAAAATTAAAAAAAACAAGGACATTGATAGATACTAATCTAGTCCATTGCCTAAAATTATTTTCAACTATACAGCGCGTTTCAAACAAACTTGTGTTTTTTAAATGAAATACCATGTTTTTTAATGATTTTTATGACAATGTTTTTTATTGGTTTAATAAATAAGACGTTTTTTTTTGATGAAAACATGCACTTTTTAAGACATCTAGAAATATTTTTTTTACTACTGCAAAGAAGAAGGTACAATCAGTGTAGAAAAGATTGTCCTCCTAATATCTTTCCCACTGTAAACGTCATTTCTTATTTAACAGTATATTTAGTGAAACTCAGTTACCGATTTTACTTTCAATTGAGTAAATAACAAATTATTTTGAAAAATTTACAACTTTATACTGCATTTAAAAATTAAATTACAAAATAATAATAAATAATCAATGTTTGTTATTTATATACAAAGGTAGCAAGTAAATGGCATAATTAAATAAACAATATTATTATTAGTAATACCTAATTAAAACCATTTATTATTAGGAATTAAAATGACCAAATCTAACCAGGCACAATGTAACATAACTCTTTAATTTATTGTTAGCTTAATTATTTTTATATGAAAACAAGTATTGCAATTGACAAATTAAATAATTTCATTTCATTTTTATTCAGTCCAAACAAACTTTGACAACAAATACATCGATTTTACTATAGTAAAGAGAAGATAAAATATTTAAAAAAAAATTAGTTTTATTCTCACCTAAGAATGACCACTTTGTGGTTGAAACGCGTTGTGTTTTAAATAAAAGTTTGGTGTGACGGGCTAATCGTATTTGTGTTCATCGTTTCCATACCAAGAAGATCCAAGAAGAAAAAAAATTAAAAAAATTGTAAACTATTTATTATGTAGTAAGGTATTTTTTTCTTACTACAACAGTGTTTGTTTTATTCGTATTCAAAATTAATTTGCAAAATATTATTGTATTAAAGTTAGAAGTAATTTTTTGGTAATAATTTGTTTATTAATAAGGTAGACAGTTTTCCAATGGCTATGATTTTTTTTAATTCACAAAAATAAAAGTTGATTAATTTAGTTTTAATAATATAACTGAACTGAACAATTATTAGCAAAAACAAATTCGTAAATTTGTTACAATTGCTTTGCGATTGCAATACCTTGGTTGCAAAAAATCTCAATAGTTCAATTTAAATATTCCTTTTTTGTAAAGGTTGCTACGAGTTCAAATGAGTTAGCACGTCAACCTGTTTGAATTGAATAAAAATTAATAATGAAATTATTTTGTCATTTACAAATTTATCAAAAAAATTAAGTATCAATATTTTAAAGAGTTATATTAAATAGTCACTAGATTTGGTCATTTTATTTCATAGTAACAAATAGTTTTTATTAATTTAATTTTACCATTTAAAATGGCATTTACTTGTTATCTTAGTAAATAAATAACTAATTAAATATCTTTTCTTTTATCAATTCTAGACATTAAAAGTTTATTTTTTTAGATAGACAATTTATCAATCTATTAGATGCAAAAATAAAAAATACGTGTTCCATTCAATTTTTTTACGTTACTTAACTTTTAACAAACTTCTTAATTTGTTAATGTTTACAAATGCAAAACACTAAAAAATTGCTACGGCTTTAAATTCTGTACTTTCTTCTTTGCAAAAGTAAGAAAAAAATTGTTCTAGCTGTCTTAGTTTTTGTGTATTGTTGTAAAAGGCTACATCCAAAAATGCAAAGAAACATACGGTGTTTCATTTAAAAAAAAACACAAGTTTGTATCGTAACTTATTTTTGGGACATGCTGTTAAAAATAATTTTAGGTGACCTATACATTTTTTTTATTTTACCATTTAAAGGTCACTAAGGGACTTTTTCAACTCGCTGGGACACYCTGTATAAAAAARTGTAATTACCCATGAATCAAAGTGTATTTGATATGATTGCTAGTGGTATAAATAAAAACACCGGAATCATCCCAAGCCCCTGATTTGACTCTTGTATTTTCATGCAAAGAGCACAAAACTTCCAATTTTCGGTTACAAATAGTAACTGTATGTTTAGCCAACAATGCGATAAAATTCATATCGTGAGACCAAACAACATAGCGACATTTATTTATTTTGACTAGAAATAATTACGTTAAATTGATCTACTACAAAATTGACTATACCTTGTTCCAGGGTACGTTTCCGCTGAACGTCAAACATAGTCAAATGCTCTGGATCCCTCAATAGTAGCATTCCAGTTCCGGCATAGAAAATTTCATCACAAGGTGGCGTTTGCACCTTTTTGTGTACCTCATTTTTCAAATTTTTAATAACGAGTTGATGTGACCGGTCCAAAACCGCAAATCGATTTCGRGCGACCCAAATTGCTGTCAATCCTGATGATCGTTTACTTTCAGCTTCGGGGACTTGATCATCACGATCGGATTCTTTTGCGATCGTRTACAAATCATAAGTGCTATTATCCAAATTCGAAGATCGGATTGATAACAAAACGGCATTTTCGGCCGGATTGAACGACATTCTATAAACGGGAGTTTTGCCYCCACCTCTAATCTGAAGAACAGGGACGTCTTTGGACGTGGTGAAATCAAGTTTGCGCAAATGACGATCTTTGACATAGTAGAGGAAGTTTCTATGTACGGTGTATGCCGGCCTTTCACGCTCTAGTTTGAAAATAATCATGCCTGTATCATGCCCCGCCGCAAATAAATTCAAATTAGGGTGAGCTGTTAACACCCAAAACCGGTCATGTTCCCTCCGAAATGTATGCAAATAGTTGCGTTTGGCCATATCCCAAATCCTGATACTCTTATCTTCACTATTTGATAAGAGGAGTTCCTGACGTGGATGAAACAAAACACACGAAACGTTATTATAATGCCCACGGCATGTATCAACCTCCCAAGCTTTTGAATCATTCATTCTCCATAATTTTATTTGGCGATCATCAGCCCCGGAAACAATCAGAGGTAAAGTGGGGTGGAAACATGCCCAGTTTACTCCGCGATCATGCCCTTCAAGGACATGTTTCACGACGGCATCAGCTTGACCAAACAAATCGGTACTACCGGGATTTTTTAAATGGTCTTCTAAACCTCCAGGTCCAGGAGCAACGTTCTTTTTCCTCAAACCTTTACCAATTTATAGAATGGGTTAAATAAATTGTTTTTTTTTTACCAGAAATGTCCCAAACTCGTACTGTTGAGTCGAGGGAAGCGGAAACTAGGAGGTCTTCAGAAGGGTGGAATTGCGCACACATGACGTAGTGGTTGTGGCCGGTGAGGACGCAAATGCAAGTCCGACTTTGCCAATTCCATATGCGAATGGTTTGGTCATCGGAAGCCGAAACAATCCAAGGGTATTCATGGTGGAACATTGTAGTGCGTATGTAATCCAAATGGCCAAGAAGGGTAAAAATACAACGTTTTTGTTTGTAATTCCATACTTTGATTTTGTAATCATCGCCGCCAGAAACGAACAAAGGTTGCTGATTATGGAAACAAATTCCTCTAACAGGTCCATCGTGTTCGTCGAATTTTTCGAGTAAAGTACACATACGATAATCCCACAGTTGTATGGATCCATTATGCAAGCTGAATTACAAATAAAAAAAATCATTTTATTATAAATTGCAAAATATTTAATTGTAGGTAAATCGTAAAAGGTCGGATTTGGTAATGTGATGATTTATGGAGCAAGAGGATATGTAAAATGTAGATCATTATTGTTTCATTATCTAAATAGTAAATTGCCAAATAAATCTGGTATTAGACTGGGCGTTGGCCATCTCGTAGGCATCAACTGGTTGTCCTATGATTAAGAGAGGGAAAGGTCAAACATTTCTCCATATTGCACTTCTTCCATTTCCAAAAATTCCGACACTCAAACAACTTAACGAAAAAGTAATAAAAAATAATACTCCCTTGTTCACCTTTTACTGGAAAATTAAAAACAAAAAACTACACTACTCCAAAAAATTAAAGGAACAAAATATTTTCCTAAATTTTGATTTTTGAGTCATTTCTCTAGAGAAAAAATGTGATTTTTTCATTATTAAGTACTGAACTTTTCAAGCTATTACAGTCTCATTTTGACTAACGATTCTAACCCAGTGTAGGTCAAAAATTTTTTTTGATTTTATTTCAAAAATTAATCAGTATTCTTTCTTGAATTTTTTTACAAATTCAAACAAATCTAAAACATTTTTTTGAATCTTCTTTCAAAAATTAAACAGTTCATTGTTTCTTAAATGTTTTTACAAATTTTCAAAAAAATAAACAAAAAACAAATTTTGTTTATTTTTTTTATTTTTAGCAAATAATGCAAAATTGTAAACAAGTCGAAAAAAACTGTTTTTTACATTTTGATCAAGATTAGACGATGTTCAGAAACAATATGTGCAATTGTTCCCTTAATTCTTTTGCAAAACTTTGATCAATCGGTCTGAGAAATCGGTTTGATGGATTTAAAAATTAGCAGGATTGTGGGGGATACTTTAAGCTGTAAAAACACCTAAAATATTAGTGAATACGCTTTACTAAAACAAAGCAAAAACTTACTTTTTTCTCTTTTCTTTAAATCAAGGTTAAAGGTAAAAAAATATTTTCCAAAAAATCATAAAAGGCATTTATTCCAGTTTTTGATACTACCCTTATATTCTCTATAAAGTCATTGGTTGCTGAGATATCAATGATCAAAGACAAGATGATCCTTTTTCATTTAAAGTCAGATATCTCAGCGACAAATTGTCGTAAAGAGAATATGAAGAAAGCATATTAAAAGTAAACAAACATGCTATGCGGCCTATGAATTAACTTAACTAAAAAAAAATTCTCCACGTCCGTGGACCAAAAACAAAACCATAAAAATTTAGAATTTTTTTCTTGCGCTATTACTAAGAATTGCGAAATAACCGTGGCACAGAAAAAATATTTGCCAAAAGATCTCAAAACTAGAAACTTAAAACTTCAAAATGTTTTTTTTAAAGCTGAATACGACCATTTTTCGATGAGCTACAGCCTTTCAAAAATGACCAAAAAAATTTTAAAAATTTCTTGTTCCTTTAATTTTTTGGAATAGTAACGAATAAAATTCTAGATAAGAAATATTAGTTGTCCTAACAACTTTATGAATAAATTAAAATATTAGTTTGATGAAACAATACAACGTACGAGTAACGGAAATTCATTTAAAATTTAACATTCATTAAAACAAATTGCGAAAATTCCGCTTTTATAACGCAATATTTGTTTTTTAAATTAATTATTTTGTACAATATCAATGTCACGCCAAAAATTAATCAATACATTAAAAGGCTTACAAATTTTTACACACCACAAAACTTGATTAAAAAAAATATTAATTCTTATAAAAATCGGTGTTTTTGTTGATAAAATCTGCATTAATTTAGAGCGGGGTTCTACCGAAATTTAGATCTGATCTTGAGACCGATATTCAAAAAGCCGATTGTGGTACTTGTGGTACCCTCTAATTTAGAGCAAGTTATTGAGGACGGGGGAAACAAGATCCGACGCTATAAATTTCAACTCGATTCCCAAATATTAACCAGTTGTTACATATTACCGACTTAGTTGTCGTGTAAAGTGGCTGACCCCATCATGAAGGTGTACTACCTCCTCGTAAGTGTTAAGTGAATTTTCAAAAAACTAATTTCAATTTTTTTCTATTATTAAACAAATTATGGTATTTGAATAATCGCAAAATTGCTGCTTCAAGGTTTCCATTATTATAATTAAAGGGTATTGGAGAAATTTTTAAATGGAGATCAAGTTTTTTTTCACATGGAAAAACGGTTTTATTTTATGTTAAATGAAAACGACTCAAGGCAAGGGTAAGCAAACCAATAACATTGATTGCACTAAACTGTAATAAATACCAAAAACTAGAAAATCTTTTTGTTATCTATTACAGTTCTCTTCTTTAAAAATTCAAAAAACTATATCTGGAAACTTTCGGCTGCTCCCAAGTGACGCAATTGAAAATGGGTAACTAATTAATAATTGTGTAATTAATATTCATCACCTTTGATACGGAAAAATAATGTGACATTTAAGTTTTCAATCGACACGCCCATCCCAAAATAAATTATAAGTTGCAGAAACAGTAATGCACTTTATTTAAATTTTTGACACAAGTAGATCAATCAATGCCGTAATTACCGATAAAAAAAAGAAAAAATTCGGCATTGGCCTTGATTGGTATTTGGAGAACCTTGAATTTCATCCATTAGTGAAGAAACAACGAGGCGGGTCTAGTTTGGTTGTTGACATTTTAAATTTAATTATAATTTCGAATTGAAGCAATTATTGTCATACGATTGCGAAAAAATCTGACATTTTTGTTGCTTTGTATTTCTGGAAATTCAACGAGTCATAAAACTGGTTACGCAGACTGTAGGCCAAAAAATAAAACGATTACTTTTTATTATTTTTAAACGTCAATTATCATACAATCTTTGGAACCTTGAGATACTTCTCGTCAAAAACTAGAACATGTAATAAAATTCGTAGGACTACTAATTGTTTTTGTTTCTAGTTGGTGAGTGCAATTTGCGTTTGGATCACCCCGACACGTTCTCAATTTTTCTATTCACATTACACTCCTCTATCAAGCCCGATTTTCTCTCAAACTTTCCTTCCAACGCTTCCTGCAGTCTCATACACGCCACGAGTCGCTTCCACTTCTTCAATTACTTACAACATACCGAATATTCCCACAGTTGAATATCGCGGATTTGGCTATCGCACCGATTACAAAGATGGGGCTAGTTCGACTGTTTTCTACGTCACAGGACCGGAAGCTCAACACTTGAGGAGTTTCAAAGATTTCCCGAGTTTCGCACGAAAACTGCAAGAACCGATGCCCGGAAAAGCCCGGAGTCTAGCCTCGGATCTCACTGATATTAACGCCATCCCTGATGCTAATCAAAAAATACAAAATATTTTACAACCGGCCGATTTTGATAGATTATTCGATGCTGCAACTCCCGGAGTTGTGAATTTTTATTCGTTCCCTGCCGGAACTGTTCCTTTGGCTTTGGCGAGACAATTAAATACGACAAATGTCACGACAACTACGCCCTCGAGTAAAGAAGAGGAACATGAAGCTGCTGAAAGTGTCGTCAGTTCGAAAGTTGTTATCAACGCGATTGATAATATGATTAAATCAAACGGAACGACGAGCGAAAATACCACCACAACTACTGCGAAAGCAGTGGAAAGCTCGACCGAGGCGAAACTTGAAACTACAACCGCGTTTTTAGTTAATGTAGAAGATGAGGATACTACAACGAATTCGAATGAAGAAATAACCACTCAAGTGTAAAACAACTGGAAATTAGGGATCAATTTTAAATAAAAATAGAATGAATTATTTTGTTTAGATAATTGTGAACAAAATGTTAATGACCACCAAAGTCCCCTCATTAATAAATCAAGTCAATATGTATTTTAGAGTTCCTAACAAGCTAATAAAATTCATCTTACATCAAAATTACGTTTAAGATTGGGGTTTTTATATATTTACAGCCGATCATTTTCATAAACGCAAATTTTACTAAAGTCATCTTATTATAGTGAATTATTTATATAAAAACTATGTCAAAAAACTAATAAACTATTTCTAATTATTTAATCCTGTCAAATCCCACTCACTTTTAATAAATTAATGAATAACAAACTAATTATGAGCCCCTATTACACAACTTATAGGCTTTTTATCACAAAAATCAGTTTAAAATTACATTATAACATTGTCAATGTATGTGGGTGTAATGCTTAGTATTAAATAATTWAAAAAAATAATGGGGTTGTAAATTGGGTGACAAGGGGAAACCAAATTTGCGTACAAAAAGTCTCAGAAACGTCTCATTATAATATTAAGTGTGTTGAGCCACAATAGGGTTTTAGGGGACGAATTAGGAGTCACCTAAAACCTTTTGCGTACGTGATGTATACAAGATTTTTTGTTAAAGCTCCCAAAACACGAATTCACACCTATTATTAATTAAAAAAAATTTCGTTACCATAGTAACCAATTTTATATTTTAATCCGCAAAAACTGTTTTTGAGGACTGAGTACCTAAAATCACCGTTTTGCGTACTATTTTTTGGGGGCGTGTACAAAAAATAACTTTTTCAATTTGTTATGAAATATGTGCCCCATGACATGATCAGAAAAAAAATTTTGTTTATTAAATTGCAAACCTACCTTGCCAATATCCAAGGACGTTTCGGGTGAAATGATAAGCCTTTCACACGGGCCGATTTCGTTTCGAATTTGGTCAACATTTTGAAAATTGGGTAAAATTCTCAGCTGACGTGTCTTTCGAGGTTATGTTTGTCTGTGCAAATATATAAGTCAAGCCATACAATAACTTAGAAATACCACTGAAAAAACAATAAAAGGTAAAACGAACAATTCTAAAATATAACATTTAAACCGTACCTTATTTTTATTATTTATCTTTTTTAATTTGAAACACACATTTTCACAAATCCGCAAGTGACATTTACTAAACATGAAAACACGTAGCAATTTAGGGATTTTTCGTTTTCCAAGAATAGTTTCTTGGGGAGAGAAATTGCAAGTTAATGTGCGACAAATCGAAAATTTTTAATGCACAATGTATTATATTATAAAATGTATATATTACCTTCTTACTGTTTGGTATTAAACAAATTGTAAAAATAAATGAATAATTCATTAATATTTAAAAAATAAACAATTTACAAAAAATAAATTTTTCGATCAGAAGCACAACCGACCGCACATTTATTTAAGAGTTAGCGGCCAAACAGCAGCTTCTTCTATAAACAATTAGGTTTTCTTCTTTTTGCATCCCCTGCTGTAGTAGGAGCCTTCCTCTTTAAAAATATTTTGTTTAAATCAGTTTTTAGTTTGTGCACTTTAGCAAAAAAGGGGCTATCGCCAATAATTTACTCAATGTGTAGGTACCTTTTTTTGATGGAAATAAAACAAAAACCTTTTGTAACAAACCTTTATTAAACAAAATTCTACATAACATTTAATTTTTCTTAGGTTTGGGTTTTCTTTTCACAGCATTAATACTTTGAACAATTTGATCTATATCATCATTGTCGCCACTGTAATCACTAGTTGCGGCTTTTTTATTAGCAGAATTGAGAAAATCTGTTACGTAYCCACCTAACATTTCTTTCAAAAAAAGACTAACTTTATCGATATTATAAACAGCAAACATAATACTAAATATCAAAACAAGTGTCCAAATAGAAGTTTGCTTAATCTCTTGCTCAACCATACTACTTTTCACGACAAAATCTAACTCGACATATTTAAAAGACGAATTCGCGATGAAAATTTCAGGATCCGGTTCGAGTTTATTATTCAAGTTTGATTCTAAATGTACTGAATAAGTTTTCCCGTCTAGTGGTAACGGTGGGATTTGGACTAAGACTCCTTGGTTGTAATCAGCAGTGATAGTGATCGACGATGTATCCACACGCCCGGTATAAACAATGCCCGACGATGCCGTCTCACATACAACTTTCAACCTCAAGCTCTTGTAATGCTCAGGATTCTTAGCATAAACCTTCACAAGTAAGTCCATATGAGTCGCAGGACGGAAAATCACCAATTGCAAGCCGTGGATATCCTGGAAAACCCTCTCCACATGGATGACTTTAGGAGCACTCCTTTCAATGGTGTTGGGACTACTCTTGACTGTAATATCGTAAGAGCAGAAGGGCTGAAGACCACGGATTCGGAATAACCCCGAACTTTCCGATGTTGACTCCTCTGAAAAGTGACTACAATTGCCTACTCCCAAAGCCACAACCACTATATTCTCCTCCGGTTCTTTATTGAGCGAAGTCACTTGACCATAAGCACTATAAGCGACGCGTTTACCACTACAAAAACAATATTATAAACAAAACAAAATAAAAGAAAATTTACGTTAATTTCACGTTGACAGTTTGGCCCTCATTGACGGTAATTATTTTCGAAGTTGGCTCAAAACTGTACTCTTTCATCATCGGTCGCAAGAAATACTCTCCTGGACTTAAAGAATGGAAAGTGATTTTCCCGTTTTCATTTGTTTGCAAATTACTTCTGTAACTATCACCTCCTGAGAGAGAAAGTAAAGTTCCCTAAAATGACATCTAGAACTGTTTTTTAAACTTTTAATTTTATTTACTTGCAAGGGGGCATTATCATTTTTATCGACAACTTCAATAACAATTTCAGCTAATTTGTGTGCGAGGAAATTCCCCTCATGGTCAGGCCCGACTAAGACGTAGGAATCTTTCTTTGCTGCGATTTTATAAGACTTGGATTTGTCTAAAGGTGGGAATTTGTAGACTCCATTTACGTCCGTTTCGGCCATTAGAGTGTCAAAGTTCTCGGTTTCGACAGTAACTAAGACTCCTGAAAGGGGCGGTTTTATTTTCCCGTGGAAAACAACCCCTAAAACCGCCTTAAATTTTGGCCCTAAATTTTCACAGTCGCTACTGCCACTAATTGAGAGAATTGGAGGACTAAAGTATAAAATGTCCGATTGAGGTACAATCACCGCTGTTTCACTCGGACTTAGCAACAATTGGATTTCGTATCCGTTTTGAACAAATGGTAAAAATGGACTTTGAGTTTTTACTCCGTCTAGACTAATAGTCGCAGTTACATCACCGTGTTTTTTTTCCGATTCGATTAGTAAAGTCACGGTGTGTTTTTGTGCATTTAAAAATATTTCGTTTGTTGCAGAATCGGTGTTATAAGTCACAGAAGGAGACTCGTAACTGTGACAACTACTTAAATGAAATGTATAAACCCCAGCTTTCTCTAAACAATAAGCGAGTTTGCCTTTGTTCACTTTAATAGTATTTTCTCTATTTTGACCGGGAATTTTATAAGTGATCTGTGTATCATGAGATGAGCTAAATACGACGGAATACCCCACTTGGACAAAAGTGGGAACTTCAACGTTGATATTATTGACATTAACAATTTGTTTACTAGACTTCCAACACAATTTATTATCGCTTAAACTAATCTCGTAAATTCCCGGATAGATATCGGAAATTTTGTAAGAGTCGTCTAAAAAAATCATTAAGTAGAATTGTTAAACAAAGTTGGGAAATTACCAGAAATATTAATTACAATTTCATTTTTTTCACCACTAGGCTTCAAAATCGCCTTCAAACCTTGACAGTCTTTCTTATTGATGCATTGAATTTCTCCAGTGAGTGTGGCCTTCAACTGCGAAAAAATAATAGAACCGACTTGTTCAGAATTGACTTCAATGTTTTGTGCTTTAGGGAAAAATCTAAAAATTGACTTAAGTTTAAATTAAAATGTTTGTAAGCTACATACTGCATCCCTTTTTGTGAATCGGCATTATCAACAACAACTTGAACTTGATATTTCCCAGGACTTAAATACTCGCAAAATTGACCCGAATTCATATCTGATAGTGTGGTAACGACTTTGGTACTTCCAATTTGTGCAAAAGTGACACTTTGTGACTTATCACTGATAACGTTGCCGCACACTTGATACGATGTTGGTACCAAATCTGGGATTTTGCTATTTGGGTTCATTTTAACTGCAACTTCCTTAAAAAGGAAATTATCTACAATTTATTAATTATTAATTGTTTTTGAGTCAATTGTGACGTTACCAGCAATCACATGTAGATTGTATGTCCCCGCTTTCAATCTTTGAAGTTTGTAAACTCCGTTAAAGTCAGTTTCGGTTATTTGTTTCCCATTTAGAAATATTTTTGCTTTGGGTAAAGGCCTCCCATTGGACGATTTCAAGACACGCCCATTGATATTAAAACCGATGATCTAAAATTATTAATCATTTCAGGAAGCCAAAACAAGAAAATTAAACCTCAAAATTCTCTTTCAGTTTCACACTCCCGTGTTCAACAGTAAACGCAATGGAATCAGGTTGGTAATAAATGTTTTGCTCAATGTAGAAAGGTGCAACGTAATATTTCCCATAAGGCAAAGTACCAAATGTAAACACCCCTTGTTCATTTGTTTTAACATGACATAATGGCTTATTTGGTTTTAAACCAGGCAAAGGTGATTTATCACAACCATCGACTTTTATATCATTCTTCTAAAAAAAAAACAATAATGACAAGTATTATTAAAAATACAACTTACAGGTATTTGAGCATAGAGAACAATAGTAGTGTCTTTAATTGGTTCCCCTTGATCTTTAACAGCCCCCGTGACATCATACCCCTGTATTATTAAACTTTTTGGGGCTAATTCAGTGTTACCTTCAGCCACAACAACATTGACGCTATCTTTGTAAATTTTCCAACTGAAAAACCCAAATTACGAATTTACATTAAATACGAAAAAACCAACCTTGAAGTGGAAATTTTTACAACATAATTGCCGGGATATACAGGAGTAAAAAAGAAGCTCCCCCCATTACTCGTCGTTGTTTTTCTAACTTCAGAATTCGATTTTAATTCAACTTCAATCCCTTCAGGGCCACTGTCGCTACCTAAACTTTCAACCTACAATCTCTCATTGTATAAAATTCAAAATCATGCTTCTGCATACCTTTCCAGTAATCCCAAACCCTTTAAAACTAAAATCAATATCTTTCCCTTGACTACAAAGATCCGAAACTCCGTCAACGACTAAATCGACTTTAGTTGGAGTAAAACTCCAACCGGGTGGGGGATCCAGCTAAAATACGACATGAGTTAAGTCTCAAGTGAAACACAAGTCACCTAACCTCCAAAATGTATTCGCCTTTGTCGTACAAAGGGACAAAATAATAGCCATTATTGGGGGCACAATTAATTTTATCTTTGAGAATCCCCTGTTTCGTAAGCCTGGAAATGATTTTATTGTCGAGGACACGTCGAAAATTTCACCTACTTACAATTTTACTTCGACTTTCGAAAAATCAATCGGGACGTGACTCTTAACAAAACCTCCGCACCCCAAAATGTTATCAGACGCCCCCCGAAGTACAACATTTAATATAACGAAGAAAACCACAAACAGTTCATTCATTTTTAAGGAATTAATTTAATTTAAATAGATGTGAGATAGATTTGACATTTCTGTGTATAGGGATTTTGCTTCTGTTTTCTGCGTCTGTGAGCACTGTATTTTATTTCACTGGAGCGAAAATTTGATTTATTTCTTGTTTATCATTAAAACAATCATATTATCTTGTTTTTATAAATAATGTATATTTTAAATTCGTTGATAAGGCTTAAATAATAAAATGAATCACTTGTTCTCACTCAAATCACGTGCACATTATTTTTAGTTTTTTGTAATTCGTGTTTTTGAATCCGGTATTGCACATTTTTCAAAATTTTGATTTGTTATCTGGATGGTATAGATGGGTTTATTAGTTTGTTYGTAGTTGGTATAGCGCTCTGTTAGGTCATGGGTGAAGTAAATTCTGATAAGAACCAAATTTAAATTAAGTTTCTCAGTAAATCTTATTCAGTCTTTAGACATTACAAGAGTGTGCTTCAATTTTTGGTAAGTGTTATTCAAAAGTCATGACCTTCATCAGTGTTAAGTACATAAGATTGTTCATTAATTAACAATAGGGTTTTTGGTCAATTTTTTGTCGAAATTCCACTAGTTCAAGGCCAAAAAAGGCATTAAATCCACTGATTTTTTAGTAGATGATACCAGATGCTTGCCGGTTTTATCGCTTAATAAAATCTTGACTTCTTCATTACGACGCGTATGTCGACCGCAGTCGTACTTCTTATTTTCAAGCCGTTTAGTTTATAAAAAATTCTACGTGCGTGAAATTTTCGTGAGCACAGGTGAAAACAGATTTAAGTCAAGGAGGGGGGCACCAGCGATTGACCAAGCACCCACTTAGTAATCACATGTTGATGCAACCAGCAATGTAGTCAAGATTTGTATTATTATTTTGTTACCTTCATAAAATCAAATGGCAGTTATTATCAGTTGGCCGAGTCATTTTTATTCGAAAATAAATAAAGTGTGTAAGTTTAATACTTAGTAGTGGTTTATCGACCGCGAGTACGCACTTTTAAACAATTTATCCGATTAAATTTTTTTTTAATTGTGTTTTAGGTACGCTAATGAGCGTTAGGTGCAATAATGGCCAGCGAATTTCAAAACGGTAAGTACAAAAGTCACTTATTGTATATTTTTGCTGTATAATACGTTATTGTTTGCTACATATTTTAAAACTGCTGATTATACAAAACATTCTTGATAAGTATTCTTTAAATAAGCATTTTGCTAAATTTGTCGAGTGTCGACATATACATAAAGCTCCGTTAGTCATTTGTGAGTACCTGAAGAATATTTTAATTTGCCACGTCCGGCTTGAACACAGTTTTTTCCAAATCATTAATAAAAAAACTGCCTCTCATTCAACAATTGTGCAAAAAATGTACATTTTTAATCATCATTTAAAATACGCATTGTTCATGTTACAGAATAATGACAATTAAAATTGATAGCAAATAGTTTTACTAACCGAGTGGCACAAATAGTGTTCGCAAATGTGTTTCTGATTCTGATTACTCTATACAAATGTATACTTATGTTAGATAAATATGCATAATATTTAAAAGTCCAATGAGGTATAGGCGATAAATTACAGTTGTAATGACATAAATTTGGATTTACTTTTTTTTTTGTAAATAAATTGCAAAGTTATCTTCTTACTTATGCAAACAAATAAAAATGTTAATTCGTTACGCACATTTTAATTAATCAGTTATTTGGTAGCTACATTAAAAAATCAGGTGTTTATTTGTTCATAAAGCGACTTTTGTGTCAAGGAACAACAAACATTTTAATTGTTAATAATTAGTGATTATTTGAAGCGATTTCCTTTCCTAGGAATAGGCTTAACTACCAGTTTCAGAAAAAAAAACAACAAAAGATAATGAAAAAGTCGTAAAAGTAGCTATTGTTCTGTTGCCATTACGGCGAAATATAACTAAAATTTTTGCTCGTTGACGTATATCTTAACCACTGCCGCGATATAATAAAATAGCGATAAGAGACGCTATATGATTAGGATTTTCCATGTCACGATAGTAGTTATTACACACCATTTCACTGTAAACAAATCGATGAATTCAGGTCCAGACCAAATTTTACCAGCGGAAGAATTTACCACAACCAATCCAGATGTCCCTGTGCGTCTTCGTATCCCTGAAAGTGGAAAAGCGATTGAAACAACTCCTCCAGTCTCAATCCCTGGACTTCTCAAACAAAGCGCCACCGATTTTCCCGACCATTCTGCGTTAGCATACAAGGCCGAGGGAAAATGGAACAAGATAACATACAAGTAAACATTTTCCCACTCAAAATCCATATTGCATATTTTTTTTAGGGAATATTACGAATTAGTTCGAACTTGTGCTAAAGCTTTCATCAAGTTGGGTTTAGAAAGACACCATGCTGTTTGTATCTTGGGTTTTAATAGCCCGGAATGGTTTATTTCAGATCTTGCTGCAATTTTTGCCGGGTATGTTTCGTCGAAATTGAATTGTGTTTACCGGAATTTTTTAGGGGAATAGCTGTGGGGATTTACACAACGAATTCAAGTGAAGCGTGTTTCCATTGCGCCAATCACAGTAGAGCGAATATTATTGTCGTACAAGATCAAAAGCAACTCGAAAAAATTCTTGCAATCAAATCTCGATTACCACATTTAAAAGCCATTATACAATATGAAGGGACCCCGTCAACTCCTGATGTTATCAGCGTAAGTCCTTTACTTGACTATTATCGAAAGTAATTAACACTACGTTTCCAGTGGGAAKATTTAATGATAATTGGAAAAGATCAAGACGATACAAATCTCGAAAAAATTCTTAGTAGTATAGGAGTTAACGAATGTTGCACTCTCGTCTATACGGTACGTAAAATCTCTAAAAAATTACTCATTTTATACAGGGTGTGTTAACTTGCGTCTTAGAGAAAAATTTTAAGGTACTAGAAACAGAAAAATGTTTAAAAAATTCTATCTGTCAATTTTTTTTTGACATTTGACATTTTTTATCTATCTACTCTCTCAACCCATGTAAAAATTAATTTAACTTACTCTCTCGCAGTAGCATTTTTGGACATGCTAAAAGTGAAAAACGGTAAAATGCGGAGACTAAGCAAAGATAGAAAACGAAAATTTAATCAAAAAACTATGGATCGCGAAACTTTCATGGCTGAAAAAGGCCTAAAAGTGACTAAATTTTATGTTTGAAAAAATCTTAACCAAGAGTGCGTTGGATTTCAATCATTCAGTTTGACACTTCTTTACATATAATGATGGCCGAACTTTTTTTTTTGAATCAATCCAAAAATCTAAAGTGATTGTTTTTTACATTAAAATGATGGCCGATCTTCAACTGCCTAATCACAATGCTTACAAATTTTACAACAATCTTTACGTTAATTTCGAGGTTAAAAAAGCTTGAAAGAAAAATTGGGGTATTTTTTTTAATAGACCTTGAAATAAAAACTTTTACCTACCCTTTTTAAAACTTCAAAAAAATCTTATGAATGAAGATCTTGAAATAAAAAAAACAAAATTACGTAAAATCTTTACTAGTTTTTCCAGATCAAGCGATATGCAAATGACAGAAATTAAAGTGAATTGAAAAAATTGCTTGAAGATTAAGGGTTTAAACTTTCTTCAGCAGTAGAGAACTTAAGAAATTATGTTCTGAGGAGCAACTTCAAATAATTCAAATACATATATTACGAGAAAAAAATCTTGAAACAATAAACAAAAATTCTAGATACGAGTCTTCTTTAAAGCATCAAGCTTTAATAGAATATTACAAAAAAATTAAAAAACAAGAATATAAAAACAGAGTTGAATTTCTAAATATTGAAAAAATGTGTGAATTTTAAACTAAAATTTGAAAGTTTTGGTAGAAATTATACTTACCAGCAATACGTGTTTTTATATATTATTTAAATTACTAAATTGTAAAAGATACATTGTTGAATAAAATATACTAATTTGTCATTAATTAATTTATTTGTTGTGTAATAGATAATACATCAGTGTGATTGAAATAGTACTTTTAGTTTAGACAACCAGTATTACAACTTTTTTTTTAATTGAAGCGTAATTCGGTAAACTGTAAAAAGTATGTTGAAACAAAACCACAATTTGTTATTTATTCATTTATTTGTTGCGTTTTATGCACTTTTTTGAGTCTTTAGCATCTCTATAATAGTAAAAAACGTTAAATGGTTCAATTTTAGAGGAAACATTTTTTTGAGTTTTTGTTGAGATTTTGGTCGATTTTTAGCACTCGGAGCGGTCTATGTGGAATAACTCCGGACTTATTCGTTTGTGTTTGATACCGTTGGAAAGAGAATTTAATTTTCTATCATATACAATAAAGATCAGTGTTCTACGATAAATAGTTATTGAGAAAATTTTTAGTAAAATTAAAAATTTTTTAAATATAAATCCGACTATAACTTCAAAACTATTAGGAATTTTGCAGTTTTCTTGACGCCAATCGATTTCCCGGAACATTTTACATAGGTTTACGACAAAATATTATATCATTGAGGCACAGTTTTGCCGCAATTTACAAAATAAATTTTATTTCTATTTAATGATACTGATGACCCTTGTGTTTTTTATAATTATTTAGTAAAGGTACAAAAATTTTGCTGATAAAAACCACAAATAACATTAAACAGAACTACAATAGAAAACAGCTTCCTTGTTTCCTCCTCTAATAGCCTGTAGCAAAAAAAACTAGGAAAATTATTTTTTAACAGAAATAGAGTCAAAATGCAAAATTTAAACTCTCATAACTTCGAAATTTTTATAGATAGGATTTTTTTATGTTTCTGCTATCTTACCTTACATTTTTTTGTGGGGCGCGAGTTATGGCACACTTGTATGTATATTTTTTTATTCACAATCACTAGTGTAATATGCCGATTACTAACCTTTTAAAGGTTGGGAAACACATAATTAAATCTCATAATATTACATCTCTTGGGCGGTAATATGCAGGATAGCCAATCTTAAAATTACAAAAATACCAGGATTTTTTTCTTTCAAATTGTCAAGTTACGCATAATATTTTGCTAATTTAGTATTCAATTGCTTTTGTACTTATGGGGGAGCACATTTCCATTTCAACGATTTGGACCTTAACTTTGTTAGAATTTTATTTTACTCAAATTTTTGACTGAAAATAATGTGATTGTGAATAAAATAGCATACAGAGCTCTTGTGCTTTATCCATACATAAACACTCGGGGTAATGCCATATTTCCCACCTCGCTTGTAATGTACTATTTCAACAGTCTGGTACTGTCGGTAAGCCCAAAGCTGTGATGTTAAGTCACGATAACTTAACTTGGGATGCGTTGTCGATCTGTGAGCGTTTAGACGTAAAAAAGGGCGAAGAAGTTATTGTTAGTTACTTACCTTTGAGTCATGTGGCGGCCCAAGTGACCGATATTTACATAGCAATGATGTACGCAGTTTGTATTTATTTCGCCGATGCAAACGCTCTTAAAGGTTCCCTAATAAACACTTTACAAGAAGCACAACCGACGAAATTCTTGGGTGTTCCACGAGTTTGGGAAAAAATGCATGAAAAAATGATGCAAGTGGCCGCTCAAAATGGCCGAGTTAAGAAGGCTTTRGCTTCATGGGCCAAAAGCCAAGCTTTACACTATCATCTTAACCGAATTAAAGGGTACGTCGAGGATTAATTAACTGAAGTATTTGTTAAAAAATGTGGATTTTAGGGTTAATGGAAGCAGTTGGGGGTATTGTCTCGCAAGCTCTGTCATTTTTAAGAAAATCAAACAAGCATTAGGTTTGAGTCGTTGCACATTGTTTGTATCAGCGGCGGCACCTCTTGCTGCTGATATCAAGCGTTATTTCTTGAGTATCGATATGCCCATAATGGAAGCTTTTGGTATGTCTGAGGCAAGTGGGGCACATACCATGTGCAATATGGGGTCGTTTGGTTTGGAAACGATAGGAATGGCACTCCCGGGGATGAAAACCAAAATACTTAACCCCGAAGATGGGCAAGGGGAGATCTGTATGAACGGACGTCATATTTTCATGGGGTATTTGGGCGACAGGGAAAAAACAGATGAGGCTATTGACTCTGACGGATGGTTGCATTCGGGAGATTTAGGACGAATTGACGAAAATAATTTCATTTATATTACGGGACGTTTGAAGGAACTTATCATTACAGCAGGAGGTGAAAATATACCACCGGTACCAATCGAGCAGCTTGTCAAATCGGAATTGCCCCACATCAGTAATGTGTTTCTTGTTGGAGATAAGAAAAAATTCTTGTCGGTCTTATTGAGTTTCAAAACCGATGTTGATTCTGAGACTGGTAGACCATTGGATACCTTAATACCCAGTGTTCAAGATTGGTTAAAAAGTTTAGGATGTCCGGCGAAAACCGTCACTGAGATTCTAGAAGCAGGACCACATCCCAATCTTTTAGAAGCACTCAAAGAAACGATCGATCGAGTTAACCAACAAGCTGTTTCCAACGCCCAAAGAATACAAAAATTGTCAATACTTCCAGTTGATTTTTCGGTAGCTACAGGGGAATTAGGTATTTGATGGTTTTTCTTGTTAATTTGCAAACTAATTTGCATTTTTAGGACCAACAATGAAAGTCAAACGAAACGTAGTGGCTGCCAAATATGCAGATATAATAGAAAAAATGTATGTATAAAAAAATCGTTCAATAAAGTGTTTTGGAATAGTATTTTGTGTAGTACGGGGAAGGGGGATAAGTAAAAAGACTTGAGTTTATTGTCAAAATATTCTTTACTTAAAAATAATATAAATAATACCTTGAGTATAATTTAAAGTTAGAAGTCATCTTACATCATCTTTTTAAATAAATAAGTGAATATGGTAAGTATACATATATGCAATATAGACATATTTTACATAATTTTCTTAAATGGTAACAAAATGCTAGCTACTGGGGCACGGTTCTGCCTCGGCACTACTATCGCTACTATCTGAATCCTTACAACAGCGACACTGTTGTCGCCTTTTACATTTCGATCTGTGACACTTACTACATTTAGGTCTATATACAGGGGCAACTAACTCTACCTTAATATTAGCAGTGGCGGTTACTTTGGTTGTGTAAGGGCCACTAGAACTGGATTCTGGACTACTGTATTCTACAGTGACTTGTGGCTCGACTATAATACTCTGATTGCAACTTTCCTCTGTAATAGTGGTGAGACTTGGCTCGCGAGTGGCTTTGACGGAAGTGTTTCGGCGGGAGGGTTTCGAATAGGTTGGGGTTCTGATAGGAGGAGGAGGAGGAGGAGGTGGGGTTGGTGTAGCAATTCGATCAGTGTGTTCTAAATGGTAGAGCTCAGCTCGAGGACCGGCAAGGAGTAACAAAATGGGGAAGAAAACCAGAGAATTGATAGTTGAACTGCACAGGGATACCAACAATGCAGTGAAAAAATGACACTGTATGAATTCGAACTGGGATGTTACTAATACTGAGACACATACAAATAGTCCAAAATCGCCTTTGAGTATAGGTTCGGAGTATAATTCTAACGACATTTTAAGTCTTCGTTCACAATTTCCTAAAGCACTTAAGAAACCTGTTAGAATTAGGAAGATGTTGCGACTCACTATTATAAAATGTAATGCACCTATTGTTCCACTTAAAGCATTTACGTTCACCAAACACATCAACAACATACAGATTATTATGCTGAATATAGAACACCAAAGTTTCGTCCACTGTACAAGAACACATGCTACTAGAACAGCTGCGAGTAACGTGAGTACGAATTGGGCAGCCAACAAGCGGTCTAGTAGTAGGAACTGATTAAAATAAGCAAATATAAGTCCAATGGGATAATTCTTTAATCCCCTTTGATTGTACTCCTCGGAAATTTCTTTAATTTGTTTAAGAGTTTCTATGATTTTTCCAGTACTTTTCAAATTCTTGAGGTAGAATGGCATTTGAGTATAAACAAGAGGTCTTGACTTTGGAATTTTTAAATCGAACTCGGCCTTAGAACTATAATGTTGACAAGGTTTCGGTGTTAGATTCGCCTGAGAGCTTGAATATGACATTTGATCGTTACTATTCCAAACTGATAAATAATTATAAAAAGCTTTGGGATCTATAATACCTTTATCAACAAGTTGTTTCTTAAAAATCTGACTCTTATCGACTGGAAACTCAACAATACCAGTTTGTGCTAACAATTTGAACGCTAATACTGCCTTTTCGGTAGCATTCGGAAACCATTTCTCGCTATTAAGAAAATTATTTTTCCGATTGTAGTCAAACTCTTGTTGCAAATCTAATAAAAAATCCCGGAAATTTGCCAACCAAAAATCATTCATATTCAAGCCCCCATTCGAATCTTTCAAAACATGAGGTACATTTGTTAAAGAAGAGTGGTATTCATACAGAAGCGGTTGGTTTAAAGGATATTCCAACTCGGTCGTTACTAAATAAAAATTATAAAAACCAAAGAATTTATTTTGAGCTTCTAAATATTTGTACTCCTGCGTATTCTTTGGTAAAAATGTCGATAATCTCACGTCAAACTCCAACTTTAAACCATTAAAAACGCAAAATATTATCAACACAGCGTACGTCAAACACAAAACCACCTTCACAAATGGTTTAACAAGCACTGATGTGAAGTAACGATTCACTAACCACGTCAAAAGACTTTTCTTTTGCTGACAGATCACCTCCGCAGTCAACAAGTTTTCACCATGTTCCTGAAACAAAAACACCAAATTACCATACGAGAAAAAACGCTATGCGCCGCCACTGCTTTCACTCAAGTTACAAGGCGAGGCGTCAGCTGGCCGGCGTTCTAATAAAGAACGTCTTATTTTCTCCCATCTTTAWTTTTTTTTTGTCACTTGAAGCTAATTGCAAAACTCGTATTATCTCATTCACCAAAACGAAATTATTTCACTTTTCGTGTTCCTAATTAAAATAACGGAAGTACAACTTGATTTAAATTTTTTCGTACTTATATATGGTAAGTCTCGAAACCCAGACTGTTTAATTTTCTATAAAAATTGAGACAGGAAGTTTTTATGGGAAACAATAAATCACCAACGTCATCACAGTGATTCAAATTAATTGGCTTTGGAAATATTTAATTATTTATACGATTATCAGTGTCATTTTTAATTAAAGACATATGGCTATTGTGAGTTGTTTTTACGATTACACAGGGCGACAAAAAAGAGTCATGTCGTGACAACTTGACAAATTTTATATCATTTTGTTCGTCTCTAAGACAAATCAAATGCACTAAAAAAATTTCAAAAAGTCCACACACTTAGAACAAAATATTTTCTTCTAATTTAAATGAATTTAAAATACTTTCAACTTTAAAAAATCATTACTCAATAACTGTTAGGCCGATTTCCTTCAAATAAAGACCATTCTAAAGGCATGGACTTGCCCTTTAGAATGATATGMAATTTGAAATTGAATATTGGCAAACTTTTCTTCGTACACTGTTCGAAGTAAATCGAAGTAATCTAAGAAAAACCCTAAGAGTATTTTTTTTCTCCGTCAGCATCGTGTAGAGCATCTTTTTATTAGTAAGAATCCAAATTTTTAAAATAACATACCGAGTAGTTTTTAAGATATGATTTTTTGAAGTTAAGGTATTGCGCCATATAGGAGAAAAGCATGTTAATCTTACTTAAAATTGAATTTTTATAAAAGTATTTGTTTTAAGACTCTTCTTTTGCTTAAAAATGGTCAATTGCACCATCTTTGTTCTAATTAGAATAAACAAAAACTGTTTCTTTACTTAAAACAAACAAAGAGTACCTGCGTACTAATTAAAGCAAATAAAGAGTTTTTTTGTTCTAAAAATGATCACTGATCATTGAGCAAAAAGGATCTAGAAGTTTAARGCASKAGYYTTAAATATAAGAACAAATCTTTTTCAAATTAAATTACTTTCCATTCAGATTCCAACTTGTTCGCTTTGTTCTAGCTTTCTGAACTTTTTTTTTGAAAATGTTCTCAGCAAATGCTTTCTCATCACTTTCTACTGATGTTGAATGGTTCGTGTGCAACTGTTATCACAACTACTACCTACAAGTTAACTGAAAATGATCGTAGAATGTATCAACAAAATAAATCAGGTGACTTATTGCATTTAACATCACTCGAAAGTGATGAGAACGCATTTGCTCAGAACATTTTCAAAGAAAGTTCAGAAAGCTAGAACAAAGTGAACAAGTCGTAAACTAAATGGAAAGTGATTTGATTTGAAAAAGATTTGCCCTTATATTTAAGACTCGTGCCTTAAACTTCTAGATCCTCTTTGCACAATGATCAGTTATTTTTACAACAAAAAAAACTCTTTATTTGTTTTAAGTAAACAAACAGTTTTTGTTTATTGTAATTAGAACAAAGAAGGTGCAATTGACCATTTTTAAGCAAAACAAATACTTTTATAAAAATGCAATTTTAAGTAAGATTAACATGCTTGATTAGCAAACCATAACTTCAAAAAATCATATCTTGAAAACTACTCGGTATATTTTTTTGAAAATTTGAATTACAACTAATAAAGAGATGCTCTACACGATGGTAATGATGAAAAAAAAAATACTCGTAGGGTTTTCTTAGATTATTTCGATTTACTTCGAACTTTTTCGAACACTGTTCGAAGAAAAGTTTGCCAATATTCAATTTCAAATTTTATATCATTCTAAAGGGCAGGGCCATCCCTTTAGAATGGTCTTTATTTGAAGGAAATCGGCATAATAGTTATTGAGTAATGATTTTTTAATGTTAAAGTATTTTAAATTCATTTAAATTAGAAAAAAAATATTTTATTCAAAGTGTGTGGACTTTTTAATTTTTTTTTTAGTGCATTTGATTTGTCTCACTGAGACTGAAGTTGTCACGACATGACTTTTTTATGTGGAATGAGAGGTATGTGTGGTAATGGTTACGAATAAAAAAATGCGTATTATTTGACCGTAACGAAAATAAACAAACTCGAATGTAAAAAGTAAATAACGGTACGGTAGTAGAGASAAACATCTGCATTTTTCTTGAGTAGATGAAGAGTTGAAGAAGTTAATAGACACATACCGGTGTTGGCGAATTGCCGTATAAAGTTGGTGTTTTTTGTGTAAATTCCGACATGCTCGACTAAAGAGGAAAAACTTACCGGGTCATTGTTGTTGTTTGTGGGAGGCTTGGACTTGGTCTCGTTCCGGAAGCACGGCACGTCAGTCTTTCGACAGCGTTGCTCGAGGGCCAAGAGCGAAGGGAACACAATAAGCAATGCAGCGCCGTGGAATATAACAAGTACCGCACATTGTAAACAGAAAACACGTAACGCCGGCACTGGCAGTACAGCAGCCGCTAAGAACGCGCCGGAATTCACTAACGCCGCCGAGATAATGCTAGGCCCCGTCCTTTGTAGCACTTCCGGTGGCGACAAATTCCTCATATGTGTTGACAAAATAAGGAACATTTCTCTCATTGCGAGTCCAACAGTAATAAAAGGTAACACATGTGTGCTTAGTAGGTTTATCGGTAGTCCGATTAAACTGCAAACGCCTAATGCGGCAGCGGCTGAACTCGCTAAAACTAGCACTCCCAATGCGGCCAAACCCGATTGGGCCACCCACCCGTACACCGCCGCCACTCCCAACACCACCCCCAGCTTCACCACGTCAGTCTTCGAAGCCTCCTTCAACATCTTGTTCAAA